TATAAGGGAAAATATCGAAGAAAAAAGAGAAAGTTTAAGACCCGATAAGATAGTGTAATATAAGAAAGGTCTTAGAACTTGAATTCTTGAAACTACGAACATTTGTAAGGCGCGTTCATCAAATAAACGCTGGAATTACACAATAACGTAAGACATGATACTCTTCAAAATATACAGTATAAATAAGTTCTGAGACTTCTTTCAATGTCAAGAAATCCACCTGATTAACTTGATAGAAGTGCTAAAATTTGAAATAATTAAGTAGATTTATAATTACAACATGAAATACATAACAAGTCTAATGTAGGCTATGGAATTGTTCTACAAATATACTTTAGATAAACGTAACAATACAACAAAGCAGGCCAAATGAAAATTATACCGTCACCGCAAGTCATGAATGCATAGAAAATTAAAAATGAAATGTTAGGACTTCGGAATTTTTGGATGAGGTGAAATTCGAATGGTATTGATGGGTTGAGTTAATTATCATGGTAAAAGTAATATCAATTATGTAATGATATACTATGCACAATATTCAAATAAGTCTTGATTCTATTTGTACCTTTTTCCTTATCATGAATGTCAATATTTTCAAGTATTATCTTAATAATATTGAAACATATTATAAAGTACAAAAATAAATAACTGACTAGTTTGACTAGAATTTAAAATTGATAAATGAAAAAAATAGAATGGGATTGTCACTAATGCTTATTACATGAATTATTATAGCTGTAAACAATTGCTCATAAAATAAAAGTAGATCTGNNGCAGATTAAAATTCAAACTTTATCATTTTCATTGTAATACATACATTCTTATGAGCAGCTCATAGTGCCTTATCTATTCTTATTATCATTAATAAATGTCATTAATGATATGTCATGTCATTAATAATAGTAATAATTGAAGAAGAGCTAAGAACTGCCCAGGANNNACTGCCCAGGAATATTTGCATAAAGGCAATGAAAATTATAAAAAAATATTTATGTATCTACAGGCTATTAGAATTAAAAACTTTAGTAATCGCATTTGATGCAACAATCATTATATCGTCTATATTGACAAACACATAAATACTGAGTAATACTGATGAATACAAAATTATTCTGATAATAGAAATAGTTTAATAATCAAGATTGCTTTTAAATTTCACATTTTATAATAA